CAGATGTGAGTAGCTGAAGGAGAAATCACTAAGGCCTGCGAAGCCTGAAATATTTATTACCTGGCTCTTGACAAAAAGAGTTTGCTGATCCGAGAAATGCAAATCAAAACTACAGTGAGGTATCACCTCACACCCAGTCAGAATGGCCATCATTCAAAAGACCACAAACAGTAAATGATGGAGAGGATGTGAAGAAAAGAGAACCCTCCTACACTGTTGGTGGGAATGTAGTTTGGTGCAGTCACTATGGAGAACACTATGGAAGTTCCTTAAAAAACTAAATATAGACTTACCATATGTCTAGCAATCCCACTTCTGGGCATATATCCAGAGGGAACCTTAATTCAAAAAGATTCATGCACCCCAATGTTCATAGCAGCACTATATACAATAGGCAAGACATGGAAACAACCTAAATGTCCATGGACAGATGACTGAATAAAGTGTGGTATATTTAGACAATGGAATACTATTCAGCCTTAAAAAAGAATAAACTAATGCCATTTGCAGCAACATGGATCAGCCTGGAGAATGTCATTCTACGTGAGATGAGCCAGAAAGAGAAAGAAAAATACCATATGATGTCACTTATATGTGTAAGCTTAAAAAAAAAAAAAAAGAAAAAAGACAAACAAACTTATTTACAAAACAGAAATAGACAGACTTAGAAAATAAATTTATGGTTACCAGAGGGGGAAAGAGGGTGGGAAAGGGTAAATTGGGAGATCCAGATTTGCAGATACTAACTACTATATATAAAATAGGTAAACAACAAGCTTATACTGTATAGTACAGGGAACTATAGTCAATATCTTGTAGCAACTTTTGGTGAAAAAGAATATAAAAACGAATATATGTATGTGCCTATATGACTGAAGCACTGTGCTGTACACCAGAAACTGACACAACATTGTAAACTGACTATACTTCAATTAAAAAATTTTTTAAGAGGCAAGAAATAGGACCTAAAGGGGAAAAATAAAGAGTTTGCTGACCCTTGATCTGGCCTAACCTCTTATATATGAAAGGCCAGAGAAATTAGAGACTTTTTGATTAATTTATTTAAATATCCAGAGCTTAGAATCTACCTTCTTGACTCTGACCGACATAGTCAAATACCAACACTTTCTTATAAAATTTGAGATTTGGGAAAGTATATAAAAAAGGGAATGTTTATTCTATTTCTCACTGAAGGAGTATGACTAGATCACTTGAATATTTAATTTAAAAGTATCCTAAAATATCTTTATTTCACAGTATCCCTTTTGTGTCTGTGGTTATATAGTTTGGACATAACTCTACATTCCTCCATTGTCATGCAGGAAACTTTGTTATAATCAAAGAATTGCTGGGATTTTACATTATTAACTGATTAACAATTCTATCCTAGTTTGTGACTTAGGTGACATCTCAGATATTCATTATTTGTTTCATTTCCCCATCGCTTCATTTCGAAAGCCACAAACAGCTTGACTTCTGTGCCCAGCCTGCCTCCTGCCTCTTACCCACCTTCTCCGCAGCCTCTGCCCCACCCTCCCCACTCGGCCAAACTTTGAGTGAAGCTGAGGGACATTTGCAGATGGTGTTATTTCCCCTTTTGCTTCTGGATGCCTTAATATATTTAGGATGGAAGAAAGAAATGTTTTTATATTGACACTCTATCAATGAGACACAGAAATGCATCTGAGTTGCTTGCTTTGGGTTCTTCAGGAAGAATAGACCCTGCGTCTTGGGCAAGCTGTGTGTGTCCGGGAAAGGCAGGGGCTGGGCTGGCTGTGGTTCAGGGTTTTACTTGCAGAGCTCACAGATTCCAGAGCCCGAAGGAAAATAGGGACCAAAGAACAAAGGCGTATAGTAGCTCTTTAATCTAACCACCACCTAATCTTTTTGTAGCCATCAAAAATACAAGCATAAGAATCTACCTGACTACTCAGATAACCTATTAACAATGACTTTAGGGAGGAGGGATAAATTAGGAGTTTAGGATTAACATATACACACTACCATACATAAAATAGATGAACAAGCGGGGAGGATATAGCTCAGTGATAAAATGTGTGCTTAGCATGCACCAGGTCCTGGGTTCAATCCCCAGCACCTCCATTAAAAATAAATAAATAAATAAACAAACAAACAAACAAACCTAATTAACTCCCAATAAAAATATTTTTCAATAAAATAGATAAATAACAAGGACTTACTGTATAGCACAGGGAAATATATTCAATATCTTATAATCATCTATAATGGGAAATAATTCGAAAAGGAATAGACTTTTATATCTCTCTCTATATATAGATATATAGATACATGTATAACTGAATCACTTTGCTGTACACCTAAAACTAACACAGCATTGTAAGTCAACTATACTTCAATTAAAAAAAAAAAGAAAAAAAGATTTTAAAATTAAGGCATTAAAACCTACCGCTTTTCATCTATTAACTTTATTAAATCATTTTGTTTTTATGGAGCATTTTAAAAACTAAATTAATTAGAAGTTGTGGGGTAGATTATACCTAACTAATAGCTTAAAGGTCCAGAGAAAAAGTTTCATCTTATTCAGAATTCTGCCAGAGCAACAGGTCATTTTCAAGTTTTCTCAGATATTATGACCTGTAAAAGATATTATCCTGGAGCGACAAGTACTGACTCAAGTCCATTATCAATTCTCAGGAATTTTGCAAGCTTGTTGTTAAACCTTTGGCAGTTTGCAACTGCCTGTAGTAGGCGTATTTATACCAGGGAAATAGGCAGACTCTTGAAATCAGGGCCAAATCTCATCCAGGTGGTTTATCAGCACACCGCTGAGTATATTCAAACAAACAAACAAAAACATGCTCCTGAGGGTTCTTATCCAGCGGATGAAAATGTTCTATAATTGATTTATGGCAATGGTTGTACCACTCTTTAAAGTCACTAAAAATTATTAAATTGCACACTGGAAATGAGTGGGCCCTATGATCTGTTAGATACACCTCAATAAAATTGTTAAAATGCTCCAAGCCAACAAACAAAGTGTCAGCATGTGTGGATGGCTCTAAGAGGCAGGTACATACCCAACGAATGAAAAATAAAGGCACATTTACTCAGTGCTTCTGATGGATGTACATTCTGTGCAGTCACTCTCAATCTTGTCTCCCTCTGGAATCACTTGGAGAGTTTAAAAAGAAAACGCTCATCCCCAAGTACTGATGTCATTTGCCTGGTGTGTGGCTTGGGCAGGAATTTTTTCAAACTCCTTGGGTAATTCTAGTGCACGGCCAAGGTTAAGAATTGCAACAGTCGAGCAATTTCCCAAGACAATGTTAGCTTGCCTGTTGTTACAGAAACCGTCCTCAAATATTCAGTACATTTCCAGGCCTTTTGAAATAGAGAAGTCTGGACAGAAAAGCACCTTTTTGTGGTACTGAATGTCCATCTTTGCGCAGGGTGGGAAGACACAGTTCTGTTTCCTGTGGGTTTTACCTGTAGTCGCTTCCTGCTATGGGCACTATGGTGGGAGAAGAGACAGCATTTAGCTCACCTTTGTCATCTGAGTGAGTGCCACAGGGTCTAGGCTCAAAGATTGTTGCATGAAAGGACCAGAGCTGAATATTTCCTTTATCTATCTTCTACTTTGGGGCTTCCTAATGATCGTGGGCCAAGAATACAGATAACCAAACACATAAAGAATTATAGTTAAATAACCAAATAAAGCTCTAAGCAAGAGCCCAGGGTCCAGCTTCGGTGCCTGGGCTTCGTGACACCCGTTTTGGATGCTCGGGCCATTTTACCTCAGCTGCTTGGGGATTCAGTCTAGAATAGGGATGTCCTGGAACTCACAAGGGGAGTTTACTTTATTGCAAAGTCTAGTTGTTAGGTCTGATCCACCTTCTGAAGGTAGAGTTCAGTTCCGAGACCTCAAGTTTAAAATCTGAAGACAGGATTTACTGAAAACTCTTGCGGTAATGCAACCTGACACAGTCGCTACATTCTTCACGCAGAGAGGTTTCACCCCTGTTTAAGCTTTTCTCTGACGAAGGACATGGACTTTGGCAGGTTGGAAGCCCGACTTGACTGTGTACTGGATGTGTGTCCGGAGGCAAGCTATTCAGTCCCCTCTGTGCGTGTTCTCTTCCTTGTAAGACGGAGATGACAATGGTTTCTCTGCCTTAGGATGCTTGTGAAGATTAGAGCTGTTTAGTAGGAGAGCAGGTGCGGGTCTCGCCTCTCTGGAATCACAGGTGTCAAAACCAGCCTCGCTAGGATATTTTTTCAGGGAAAAGAGCCAGTTTCTCTAGGAAATCTGCTCCTCTCTTGTGTAATACTTGCTTCTTTTATTAAATCTCCTGAATTGCCTCATCAGGTCCCTTCTTAAAGAGAGGACTACAATGACTCCACCTACTTACACTGTTTGAGGCAGAAAGTTTACCCTCTTCCTGACTTCATAGTATTTAGAAGGCTCAAGGTTGCCCTTCTGGACATACATACATACAAGAGCTCACAGATGCAGTGTCAGGAGAAAGAAACACATATGAGATGTTGCCACAGACACTTCCTCATTCTTTACCTTTTGAAATAGTCCCTCTCCCCTACAGTCGGGACTAGGCCTTCTGTTCATCTACCCGAATGCAGCACAGTCCTCTTCTGTCAATAGCTTAGCACTCAGAACTTGCCAACAGCACATTTATTCATAACCCAGATCAATAACAAGGCGACCCAGCCACACTCAACACCTGCAGCCCAGTTCTGTCCCTAATCTCAAAGAATGTCCAGCATTTGATTTTTGTCCCATTTCTCCACCTACTAGTTTTCACATCTGGAAAGATGATACATGCTTTCACAGTGGAATTGGCCCCAAACCGACACAGGCAAGTCAAGTGGAAAGGACGGAAGACTGGGGTGGCAGAGAGACACAGAGTGCAAAAGGTGCTCACTCATCAGAGTGAGCCTTCAGGTGGGAGCGGGGGGCTAAGATTCCCCAAGCAGCACGCTGAAAAGGGAACCTGCCCTCTTACCCCAAGTCCTGGAGAAGCTCAGCTTCTCCATCCGACCTGCTCCACGGATCTGAAGGGTCGTGGGTGCTCATCTTCCCTTCTAGAGATTCTGCTCTGCCCATTCGCGCCCCTCACGTCCGCTCGGCCCCGGCCCAGTGCTCTGGGAAAGAGGCAGCGAGAGTCGGGCTCTGCAGCTCCTCACACTCTCCCCTCCTCAGCGAGAGAGAAGCCGGCTGGCCGGGCTGCGAGGTCTCCAACCAGCAAGGAAGTGAAACTTGGTTACTCCTCCCACTGACACGCACCACCCTGGCCCCGAGGCCCTGGCAGGAGGGTTGTGTCAGTCAGGAAGTATGCAAACCTAGGTCTCTCCCTCTGAGGACACCCACACTGGCTCACACAACAGGCAGTTTCTGTCAAAGAGATGACGAAATTGCTCCACCTGGGATCGACTACTAATTCCAGCTCTTCTCATGAGGCCAAACCCTAGGTCCTCCTCAGTGCTATGAATCTCCATCATTCCCACTTCCTGCTTCACATGCAAGCAGAAGGAGCACCGAGGAAGCTTCTGGATGGATCTGAAACGTCTTTCGAGTGGGTAAAGAAATCAGACTCAAACCACTAGCTCCGAGCCTGAAGTCTGGATTTTAGCACGTTTGCAATATTTCTGCTTCAGTCATCCAGGCTTTCCAACGTACCCTTGACGTTCAGGCTGAGCGTGATTCAGAGACAGGGATCATTTTCTTGTGGAGGAAGATGGGTGAGAGGAAGGTAGGAAAAGGCACAGGGGGCCAGCCTGGTGCCCAACTAACAGGGCAGGGCAGACCTCCTGGAGTCCCTGAGCTCCACTTCCTTCCCTGGGCTTACTCACAGCAGGTAGTGCTTGTGTCCAGACTCGTGTACAGAAAATCCGAGCTGCCTAAAAGTCCTACAGGGAAGCCAGCATAACTCTGAATCCTGGGGAATCGGGCAAAGTACCATAATAAATGAACAAACAACCTAAGTTGCTTCCTGCCTTCTCTCTGTATGTACCTACAGGAGAGAACGTGTTTTTCTCTCTCTCTCGCTGCCTCTTGTCACACCTGACTCACTCAGGGCTCAGCAGCATGCTCTATAACTTGCTCCTCCCGGGGCTGTCTGAGGACCAGCAGCTTCAGCATCACTAGGAGCTCATTATGATACAGAGTTTCGGTTCATCCCAGCACTTCCAAACCAGCATCTACATTTGAACAAGATCCCCACATTGACTCCTGTGCACGTGGAAGTTTGAGGAGACTGCTTTATAGGACACCAAGATAAAAGAACTGTTCCAGGAGGGGAGGTTGGTCTGCACTTGGCATCATTCTAGCTTTTCTTAAGGTCCCTCCCTATGACATGACCTCTGTTGGTCAGTGATTTGGGAGACCCTGGCTTACTCTGATCGCCAGGGAGAAGTTCCTGAGTGTCTAGAGACAGCTTGGGAGAGGCTATGGTCTGATAACACACAGAGAACTGATTGTACATCAATATTTAAAATTCTTTTGGCAACAGTGTGTTCAGAAAGAACACGGTGTCCACTTGCAACAGAGGCCATTTCTGGCCAGGGAGGTGCTGAATGAGAATACGGCAGAGACGGGGGACAGCTGGGCAGATTTCCTGTTCCCTTTCTGCAGCTTTTTGTTCAGTGTTTTAGCATCTATTCCGTTCCTGTTTTAGCAAATTCTGGTTTTTATTTTGCTTAACCTTTTTTTCCTTTTCTCCAGGAAAGTAGCAGAATTTATTAAGATGATCCCTCTTCCCCTTTTCAATCCTCCTGCCCCCTCTTCTCATTTTGTTACTCTGTCTGTTGCCCTCTCCTGTGCTGTCATTCTCTCTTTTTGTCACTTATTCCGTGTTCCCCAAGATGCCTCCCATCCCTACCGCCCTCCTGCTCAAGTCCATATCCAGCATTATCGTGGTACCAGCTGCTGCAGCATTACTAAATGGTTTCAACAAAATTCTGGACAGTTGTAAAATATTTGGTAATATATTTTATATTAGATTAGTCAGATGCTTTTTTTTAATTAAAGAAACTGCAACTTTTTTGAGGAGCAGGGATAAATTAGGAGTTTGGGATTAACATATACACACTACTACAGATAAACAACAAAGACCTACTGTACAGCACAGAGAACTATATTCAATATTTTGTAATAACCTATCATGGAAGAGAATCTGAAAAAGAATATAATTGAATCACTTTGCTGTACACCTGAAACTAACAACACTGTAAATCAACTACACTGCAATAAAAATACATTTAAAGAAAGAGAAACTGCAACTTTTACTTTCAAACAGCTTCCAAACACGTACGAGGTATACATTTTTTTAAAGCACATAGTTCACTTCTTATTTATTTCAATATTCTCTTCTCAGTGGTGCTGATTCATAAAACTGACTTCTTTCCACACTAGTATTGAACATAGACATGGACACAAACAACCAGACTGTTTTAACAATTTTAGAACATCTTATTCTTTGTTGGAAAAATATTTCTTTCATCAAGAAATGTTAGCGCTTCCTCAGAATGACTGTCACACTCAAATCATCAGTCTTCTCAAAAAAGGTAATTCGGGGAGAGCTATTTTGTCCAGACTGGAATTTCTTTATTAGAAGAGTAAGTTTCTAATGGTGGGGATTATGCGAAACTTTTCAAAAGAATGACTCCATATAGTTGAAAACCCTTTTTTAATCTTTTCCTAATTTATTGGTCTCTACAGAAATCTCAAATGTCACATCTGGCTCTAACTCACTAACTTCAAGATGTGAAATTCATTCTAACCCCTTTCTCTTCAGAAGGGCAGGAACTTGGAAACAGAAATAAAGGGAATTTTCTCCAAAGGGGAAGGGAATGATATAAACACGCTGAATTTTATTTTCTCAATATGTTCCTAGAGAAAACATGGTTTCCTGGGTAATTTAAAATGCTGAAAAAATAAGATGCGTGGACCCATAGTGTGGGCTCGCAGATGTGTGGGAAATGTATCACAAAGCTTATATGCCATAAAGGTAAACATGTCATAAAGGTTATATGTCATGGAGTTAGTCATTGAGAAATACAAAATAGCCAAGTGGAGATGTCAGCTAGGCAGGTGGGTACCCGAGTGCTGGTGAGAAGGGAGCTCTGTCCTCCCTCCTTGAGCCCTTCTGGGTCAGGATTGGTCACCCATAATTCAGGTCCCCGGGGACCCGGCCACCCCACAGGCTGGTCTTCTCATTATTCCTCTTGGGAGTCCCTTCCCCCCCGACTTTGGTCAATTATTCTTCCGCTAACCTATGTGGTGTGCTGACCTGACCTTAATCTCTGGCGTGTGTTTTGATTTCTGCTCTCTTCTCTGCTGCTGCAGGTGGAACCCTGATGTCATTCTGGGAGAAGCCCAAGCCACATGGACTGTGTCGTGTGTGTGCTCTGGCTGACAGTCCCAGAGGAACCAGCTCGAGCCATCTCAGACCAGGTTCCAGACACATGACTGAAGAAGCCTCCAGATGACTCCAGCCTCCAGCCTCTTATCTCACTCCCAGTGGTTTGCGTCTTGCCGACTGAATCCCAGACGCTGAAGAACAGAGGCAAGTCATCCCCTCAATGTTCTGTTTGAATTTTGGATCTAAGGAATACAGGCACGTTAAACAATGGTTGGTGCTTTATGCTGCAGAGTCTGGGGTGGCTTGTTCCCCAGTGACAAGAACTGAAACATTTCTTTATCCTCTGAGTCGCTGCCTAGAATGTGAGCTCCAGGAAGCAGTGACGTTCAGTGTCTTCTTCCTAGCTATGTACCCGTGATGGTTAATTTTATGTGTCAACTTGACTGGGCCACGAGGTGCTCAGACACTTGGTCATATTTTTCTGGGTGTTTCTGTGAGGGTGTTCTTAAAATGAGATTAACATTTATTTACTTATCTTTCTTATTTATTTAATGGAGTTATTGAGGATTGAATCCAAGACCTCTTGCATGTTAAGCATGCGCTCTACCACAGAGCTATACCCATCCCTGACCCCTGCCCCAAGATTAACACTTAAATTGGTGGATTTTGAGTAAAGCAAATTGCTCTTCATAATTGGGTGGGCCTCATCCAATCAGTTGAAGGCCTGACAAGAACAGGAAGACCAACCTCCCAGAAGCAAGAGAATTCTCTGGCAGTGCCTTCAGGCTTCATCTGTAATATCGTTCTTCCTGATTCTGCACAGACAGCCTTCAGACTCAAACTGGAACATGGGCTTTCCGGGGTCTCTAGCCTGCTGGCCCACCTGCTGGTTTCGTCCTTGCCAGCCTCCAAAATCAGGTGAATCAATTCCTTATAATAAATCTCTATATGTACACACCCTATGGGTCCTGTTTCTCTGAAAAATCCTATTACAGTGTCCATAGTCCATAAAACAGTGGTTCTCCACCGGGAGCAGTTTGGCCCTCCAGGGACATTTGGCAGTGTCTGGAGACATTTTTGGTTTCACAACTTTGGGCGCCTACTGGCATCTAATGTGCTGTGCTGCTGAACAACCTACAGTGCACAGGACACCCCTCGACACACACACACACACACACACACAACAAAGTACTGTCTCACCCAACACACCAAAAGAGTCAGTCTGGTTTACCTCAGGCACATTTTTTTTCTCACTCCAAGAGCATCCTAAAAATGATACCATAAATCCATTAAGGGCAGCGATGCAAAGTCATCTCCCTAAAGGGAGAGCTGAAATGGAACCAAAGCCAGCCCTCCACATGTACTTCTGTCCATTTTACTAAACTGCCTCCAAAGAGGGAGTGTAGCTTAGGGAACGGGGCCGGGGCGGGTGGAGTCCTGCACTGTGAGAGTGCCCCCCCGGAGCGCGTAGCTCCATCGCCTTGGCAGGACCCTTGGCACAGGGGGTAGAACAGGAGAACAGCAGGAGACTTGGTTCTCAGCACACGTGAGGCAATGCTTGTCGAAAGTCCGAGAAATAACTGTGGAGGATGTGAGGGATAAAGGCTGAGGTCCTGCCTCTTCCAAGAGGGGCCTGAGTGAGTGAGTAGAAGTGAGTAGAAGTCATGAACATTAACCTGGGAGGTGGTGACCAATCTTCCTTCATGTCCACCATGCGTTCTGCACCCAAGCCCCCCACCGGCATTCAGTCAGTTCTGCATGGTTACAGGAAGCTGGGCTGGTTGGTTCATTGGTGACGTTTGTCAATAGACAGTGTTGCAACAACTGAAGCCTTGCCTCTTAGATAAGAAACACAGTCACCCTCGGGTCGTAAAGGAGCAGG